AGATGTGATTATTATTTCTTTAACTCTATAGTTTTTTAAGAGACTCTCATGTAATCCATTTTATTTAAAACCAATGTGAAAATTTTTATATTTTGTTAATTTGAATTAATTTTAATTTTATTAGTTAATTTTGAATTTTCTAGAATTTATATCAATTAATAAATAAATACTGAAACACAAAGGCAGAGAAAGTAGTACTACACTTAATCTAGACAAAAGACCAAGAAAGGTTAGCCACAAGGCAGACCGAAAAAAATTTAGTACTACACTTGATCTTAGCCAAAAGACCGAGAAGGTGTGATTATTATTTCTTTAGCTCTATAGTTTTATAAGAGGCTTTCATGTAATCAGTTTTACTTAAAACCAATGTGGGACTTTGTAATTTGAATTAAACTCTTTTTATATTTTGTTAATTTGAATTAATTTTAATTTTATTAGGTAATTTTGAGTTTTATAGATTTTATATCGATTAATAAATAAATACTGAAATACAAAAAAAATTAGTACTACACTTGATCTTAGCCAAAAGATCGAGAAGGTATGATTATTATTTTTTTAACTCTATAGTTTTATAAAAGGCTTTTATGTAATTCTTTTTACTTAAAACCAATGTGGGACTTTATAATTTGAATTAAACTATTTTTATATTTTGTTAATTTGAATTAATTTTAATTTTATTAGATAATTTTGAGTTTTATAGAATTTATATCGTGGGATATAATAATTAATGAGAGCTCTTTATTGTAAATTAAACTCTTTTATATTTCGTTAATTTGATTTTTAATAGGTAATTTTGAGTTTTATAGAATTTATATCAATTAATAAATACTGAAACTCTTTGCACAAAGGCCAATAAAGTAGTACTATACTGGATCTTAGCTAAAAAATTAAGAAAGGTTAGCCAAAAGGCCGACCCAAAAAAATTTAACACTACACTTGATCTTAGCTAAAAGGGCGAGAAGGTGTGATTATTATTTCTTTAACTCTATAGTTTTATAAAAGGTTTTCATATAATCTTTTTTACTTAAAACTAATGTGGCACTTTGTAATTTGAATTAACCTCTTTTTATATTTTGTTAATTTGAATTAATTTTAATTTTATTGGGTAATTTTGAGTTTTATAGAATTTATATCAATTAATAAATAAATACTGAAATACTGAAACTTTTATAAGAGGCTTTCATATAATCTTTTTTACTTAAAACCAATGTGGGACTTTGTAATTTGAATTAAACTCTTTCTATATTTTGTTAATTTGAATTAATTTTAATTTTATTAGGTAATTTTGAGTTTTATAAAACTTATATCAATTAATAAATAAAAACTTATTTTGATAATTTGATTTTATTAGGTAATTTTGAGTTGTATAGAATTTATATCAATTAATAAAATAATGAAACTCTTTGCACAAAGGCCGAGAAAGTAGTACTACACTTGATTTTAGCCAAAAGACCAAGAAAGGTTAGCCAAAAGGTCAAGCAAAAAAAATTTAGTACTACACTTGATCTTAGCCCAAATGGTCGAGAAGGTGTGATTATTATTTATTTAGTTCTATAGTTTTATAAGAGGCTTTCATGTAATCCATTTGATTTAAAACCAATGTGGGACTTTTTATATTTTATTAATTTGAATTAATTTAAATTTTATTAGATAATTTTGAGTTTTATAGAATTTATATCAATTAATAAATAAATACTGAAACACTCTACAAATTTAATAATAATAATAATATAGATATAGATTTTATATCGTGGGATATAATAATTAATGAGAACTCTTTACTGTGAATTAAAATCTTTTATATTTTGTTAATTTGAATTAATTCAAATTCTATTAGGTAATTTTGAGTTTTATAGAATTTATATCAATTATTAAATCAATACTTAAACTCTTTCCACAAAGGAGCCGAGAAAGTAGTACTACACTTGATCCTAGCCAAAAGACCAAGAAAGTTTAGCCAAAAGGCCGGCCCAAAAAAATTTAGTACTACACTTGATCTTAGTCAAAAGATCGAGAAGGTGTGATTATTATTTCTTTAACATTATAGTTTTATAAGAGGCTTTCATGTAATCATTTTTACTTTAAATCAATGTGGAACTTTGTAATTTGAATTAAACTCTTTTTAAATTTTGTTAATTTGAATTAATTTTAATTTTATTAGGTAATTTTGAGTTTTATAGATTTTATATCGATTAATAAATAAATACGCAAATACAAAAAAGTTTAGTACTACACTTGATCTTAGCCAAAAGGTCGAGAAGGTGTGATTATTATTTTTTTAGCTCTATAGTTTTATAAGAGGTTTTCATGTAATCCTTTTTACTTAAAACCAATGTGGGACTTTATAATTTGAATTAAACTCTTTTTATATTTTGTTAATTTAAATTAATTTTAATTTTATTAGGTAATTTTGAGTTTTATAAAATTTATATAGTGGGATATAATAGTTAATGAGAGCTCTTTATTGTGAATTAAACTCTTTTATATTTTCTTAATTTGAATTTTATTAGGTAATTTTGAGTTTTATAGAATTTATATCAATCAATAAATATTGAAACTTTTTGCAAAAAGGCCGATAAAGTAGTACTACACTTGATTTTTGCCAAAAAACCAAGAAAGGTTAGCCAAAAGGCCGACCCAAAAAAATTTAACACTACACTTGATCTTAGCCAAAAGGCCGAGAAAGTATGATTATTATTTCTTTAGCTCTATAGTTTTATAAAAGGTTTTCATGTAATCCTTTTTACTTAAAACCAATGTAGGACTTTGTAATTTGAATTAAACTCTTTTTATATTTTGTTAATTCGAATTAATTTAATTTTTTTAGGTAATTTTGAGTTTTATAGAATTTATATCAATTTATAAATAAATACTGAAACTTTTATAGGAGGCTTTCATGTAATCGTTTTTACTTAAACTAATATGGGACTTTGTAATTTGAATTAAACTCTTTTTATATTTTGTTAATTTGAATTAATTTTAGTTTTATTAGGTAATTTTGAGTTTTATAGAATTTATATCAATTAATAAATAAATACTTATTTTGTTAATTTGAATTAATTTGAATTTGATTAGATAATTTTGAGTTTTATAGAATTTATATCAATTAAAAAATAAATACTGAAACTTTTTACACAAAGGCCGAGAAAGTAGTACTATACTTGATCTTAGCCAAACGACCAAGAAAGGTTTACCAAAAGGCCAACCCAAAAAAATTTACTACTACACTGATCTTAGTCAAAAGGCTAAGAAGGTGTGATTATTATTTCTTTACCTTTATAGTTTTATAAGAGGCTTTCATGTAATTTATTTTATTTAAAATCAATGTGGGACTTTTTATATGTTGTTAATTTGAATTAATTTTAATTTTATTAGGTAATTTTGAGTTTTATAGAATTTATATCAATTAATAAATAAATACTGAAATACTAAAACACTTTGCACATTTAATAATAATAAAAATATAGATATAGATTTTATATCGTGGGATGTAATAATTAATGAGAGCTCTTTATTGTGAATTAAACTCTCTTATATTTTGTTAATTTGAATTAATTCGAATTTTATTATGTAATTTTGAGTTTTATAGAATTTATATCAATTAATAAATAAATATTGAAACTCTTTCAACAAAGGCAGCCGAGAAAGTAATACTACACTTGATCCTAGCCAAAAGACTCCGAAAGTTTAGCCAAAAGGTCGACCCAAAAAAATTTAGTACTACATTTGATCTTAGCCAAAAGACCGAGAAGGTGTGATTATTATTTCTTTAGCTCTATAGTTTTATAAGAGGCTTTCATGCAATCATTTTTACTTAAAATCAATGTGGGATTTTGTAATTTGAATTAAACTCTTTTTATATTTTGTTAATTTGAATTAATTTTAATTTTATTTGGTAATTTTGAGTTTTATTGAATTTATATCGATTAATAAATAAATACTGAAATATTGAAATACTAAAACACTGAAACACTTTGCACATTTAATAATAGTATAGATATAGATATATACTAGTAAAATGCACGTGCGATACACGTGTTGAATGATTTGTAACTTATCGATATATTCATTGTATGATATTGTTGGATATTAAATGAATTTTTATCAACAATGTTTAGAGTGTATTAATTGTCATTTCAATGAATTCCTAAACTATAAATCTTTGAAAATAAAAGTATTCATATGAATAATGTTTAGAGAATAATAATTGCCACCTCAAAAGAAACAAATAAGGTTTTCCATTAATGAATGAATGAAAACTATAAACATTTAAAAAAATATATGAAAATTAAAATTCTATAATTTACAAAACAATCATAAATAAATACTATATAAAAATTTCATATATTATAAAATCATAAAGGGTACCAACAATGTTTAGATTGTAATAATTGTCACCTCAAAAGAAATAAAATATATTAGAAAATCCAAACTATAACTATTTGAAAATAAAAGTATTCCTAAATTATTTATTTATTAATCTTTATCTTTTTTGCATATCTCATTTCTTCATGAAATGAATCATTGTCAAGTGTCAATTCTTTTAATTCTTACACCGCAAAATAAGTTTTCACGACTTGTTGTTGAGTATTGTCTCTCTTCACTAGAAAAAGAAAAGATTTCCCTTTGCAGCTTGTCACTTTGTTGCTAAATTCATCTATTTCCTCCAAAAAGAAGAAATATAATTTAGTGCTATTGAGAAATCCAAGTAAGTATTTTTTTTTAATTTAATTAAAATTTTATAAATAAGGGTGGGAAATTATCTCAATTTGTAATTGTAGTAAATCATATAGTGAACAATTTATTAATGTTTGGCAATCATTGAACACTGTTAGGGTTGCAAGTGTTGCAATATGTTCCATACTTCGCACTTTAATAAATACAATAATAAGGTTTTAGGATATAATAATACTTTTGAATGCATTTTGGGTCTGTTGTGTTGCATCGAGGACAATATACTCTATCTTTTTCAATTTTTATTTTCTTGTTGCATTTCTCACACGCGTCGAACCACGGTTCGCGGTCATTAACGACATTTTCAATTATTGCTTCGAAACAGTAATTTGTTTTCTGTAGATTGTGCAACAAAATATAACTTCTCAATGTATAAATTGAATATAAAAATGTGATATACAATTAAGAAAGATTAAGAAATATGCTGAAATTTAATACCTTAAAGGACATTGTAGATTTTCTTATTATGTCTTGAAGTTTGACTTTTTCAGCACCATTGAATTTTTGATCTTTTGTACTAGAAATCAAATTTCTTATATCTTTGTTATTTATGTTATCTTTGGACCTGTCCACATATAAATTATCTTGTAAAATTATTAAATAAATAAAACAAAAAAACATGTTCTCTTTCTACAAATAGTGTATATTTTGCACCAAGAGGTCTGCAATATAAAAATATAAAAACAAACATCTAGCATATATGTTTAGTTATATATGAACATGCTTAAAGAAAAAGATTACATATAGCTTTATGAATATATATATAATGTAAAAGAAGTTGGAATAAATAACGAACCAATGTCTTAATGCTTTGACACTTTCAATATCCATATTGATTTGCAATGTAGATCCTTTTTGCATTTGAAGAGACAGACCTAGAATATAACATTATTATTTGTAAAAGTTTGTTATTATAGATTTACTTAATAATATATAATGTAAATAATATCATTTTTTATGATAATTTACCTTTGTAGGTGTTGATTGCCACATGTGTAACTGTGATAATAGGTTTTTCTTGTATTAGTTCCATGATAAAGTTTCCTTCATTCTCAGCAAGATCCTCCTATAACGTCAAAGTAGTTTTCTTTGAACTGTAATAAAGATTAATTACTTTAGTCATTATATTATATTGGCATAATTATGATCGTATATGTAATATAGTAATGACGTACCTCATATCCATTATATTGACTTCCCGCTTTTTGGTTGTGCCTTTGTTGTTCTTCTTACATATGTTCAATGTAGGAGATATCTCAATAACAATTCCCAAAGCATCTAGCTAGATTAAAAATAAAAAATTTTAATTTTAATTTTATATATGTATAAGAGAGAACATATATATGGAGAGTTGAGAATTAAACGAAAACTAACCCATATTTTCTTTTGCATCAGTGTACTTGTTCAACTCCTTGAAGTCCATAAAATTAAAGTTTATTGTTTCTAAGCTTACTACTTCAAGCTCTTCAACTTCAATTGAGGTGTTATTAAAAACTTCAATTCATACTCCTTGTGCACACTCCTATTTATAGGATTGATGTCTTTTACAATTACATTAGAAATTCTGTATGTCTTATGAAGCAATAGTGAATCACTGAATTTGGTGACGAGCTTGTTAAATAAGAAATCTTGAATTTGTGTTCCCTGAAAGAGTAAAAAAGATGTGTACATGGATTAATAAGATCATTAAATAACAATGTTGCCATACAAATATAGATGCATTTAATGAAACTAACAGAAATAGGTAATGGTATACTTACAACATCATCCATCAGAACTACTTTCAACATTGTTCCTGATGTGTACTCCTCGATTGCTCTTCGAAGTACAACTATTTTTATTGTCGATTCTGTTTTTAAACTAACAAGTGAATTTATTAAGTCAAAGCTTTGGTGACCTTTCTTCATTTTCATGATTTTTTCTACATGATTAAAGAAAAAAGAATTAAGGTTAAAGAAAATAAAAATTAAAAATAAAATTGTGAAATAAGAATGATCGAGTATCAAAATAGAAATGAAAAAATATATATATACATCAATAGTAAGTTAAATCGAAGTTAATATTTTTTTTACGTTTTTAAAAGAATAAAATTGTGAGTGAAAGATTTAAATATTGTAATAATTGGTAGTGAATGTGGGGTATCTTTACCTTTCGAACAATGTAAAATAATTTTGGAATGGGAAGGTATGGATATTAATGTGGGTGTATCCTTACCTTTCAGACTGGAGAACCTCCTTATAGACAACATTTTTAGTGTATGTATCACCTCTAATGTTTGTTTGATCCTTCTTAACAAGTACTTTAGTAATTGACATTGAAGTTCCTCTAGATAGTGCAACATATAATTGTCCATGGGAGAACACGTGCTCAGATAGATAAACTCTAACATAAGGAATTGTTTGGCCCTATGCTTTATTTATTGTCATTGCAAAACTCAACCAGATTGGAAACTGTTTTCGTGCAAAATGGAAAGGCATAGCTTCATTCTCTGCCGGGCATAGGGGTATTCTTAGAATCAGTACTTATTTTCCAGCATGTTGTCCATGGCTGATTTCTACATTGATCAGATTGGCCTTTGTTCCACGACAGATAAGCCTGGTACCATTACATAATCCATTTGTCGGATCCAAATTTCTCAGTAACATTATAGGATAATTGACTTTTAACGTTAACTTATGTGGCGGGAGGCCATTTGGAGCCAATGAATTAAGGAAATCTTTTTGGTAATAGGTCCCCATATTATCAGTAGTTTTGTCAAAGCTATAATACGTAGTGAGTTCGCCTGGGAATTGTTCAATGAGATTCTCATTCAATTTGTCAATGAAATCATTTTTGGTGGCCAAAATTGCTCGATTTGTAATATATTCCGCTGAGTGTGCATTTTCGAAGAGGTAGGGGAAAACAACATTTATCAATTCTTTGGTCAAGCACAACTGATTATAGATTGAATTTTCAACAGTAACTCTAAAGCTATTCCGAAATGTTCAGAACAAATATGGTACTTAATTTAAATATGTTTGTTCTCAAGTGTGGAAAGAATTATTTGGTCCATTTGGGTTTGGTTTAAGCTTTGAATCCCTTCCTGCTGCAATCGTGGGATATAATAATTAATGATATATAGTATAATATAATTTGTTAATTTGAATTTTATTAGGGAATTACTGTTATTATATTTTGTGTGAGTAGTATAGTATAATTTGAATTTATTTATCAATTAATAAATAAATACTGAAACTGTTTGTACAAAGGTCAAGAAACTCTTTTTATATTTTGTTAATTTGAATTAATTTTAATTTTATTAGGTAATTTTGTGTTTTATAGAATTTATATCGTGGGATATAATAATTAATGAGAGCTCTTTATTGTGAATTAAACTCTTTTTATATCTTGTTAATTTGAATTAATTTGAATTTTATTAGGTAATTTTGAGTTTTATAAAGTAGTACTATATTTGATCATAGCCAAAAAACCAAGAAAGGTTAGCTAAAAGGCCGACCCAAAAAAATTTAGTGCTACACTTAATCTTAGCCAAAAGGTCGAGAAGGTGTGATTATTATTTCTTTAGCTCTATAGTTTTATAAGAGGCTTTTATGTAATCTTTTTTTACTTAAAACCAATGTGGGACTTTGTAATTTGAATTAAACGCTTTTTATATTTTGTTAATTTAAATTAATTTTAATTTTATTAGGTAATTTTGAGTTTTATAGAATTTATATCAATTAATAAATAAATACTGAAACACTTTGCACATTTAATAATAGTATAGATATAGATCGATATAGATTATAATAATTAATGAGTGCTCTTTATTGTTAATTAAACTCTTTTTATATTTTGTTAAATTGAATTAATTTGAATTTTATTAGGTAATTTTGAGTTTTATAGAATTTATATCAATTAATAAATAAATAAATACTGAAACTCTTTGCTACTTGATCTTAGCCAAAAGACCAAGAAAGGTTAGCCAAAAGGCCGACTCAAAAAAATTTAGTACTACACTTGATCTTAGTCAAAAGGTCGAGAAGGTGTGATTATTATTTCTTTAGCTCTATAGTTTTATAAGAGATTTTCATGTAATTCTTTTTACTTAAAACCAATGTGGGATTTTGTAATTTGAATTAAACTCTTTTTAAAATTTGTTAATTTGAATTAATTTAATTTTATTAGGTAATTTTGAGTTTTATAGAATTTATATCAATTAATAAATAAATACTGAAATACTAAAACACAAAGGCAAAGAAAGTAGTACTACACTTGATCTTAGACAAAAGACCAAGAAAGGTTAGCCAAAAGGCAGACCCAAAAAAATTGAGTACTACACTTGGTCTTAGCCAAAAGGCTAACCCAAAAAAATTTAGTATTACACTTGATCTTAGCCAAAAGGCCTAAAGAGTGTGATTATTATTTCTTTAACTCTATAGTTTTATAAGAGGCTTTCATGTAATCCTTTTTACTTAAAATCACTGTGGGACTTTGTAATTTGAATTAAATTCTTTTTATATTTTGTTAATTTATATTAATTTTAATTTTATTAAATAATTTTAAGTTTTATAGAATTTATATTAATTAATAAATAAATACTGAAAAGCTTTCCTTTAATTATCTTAATGATCATCTGTGTGCGCGCTAACACCTGGGGACGTGTATAACTAAATATAATAAACTTTTAATACCTGTTACATTTCGTTATTTTAACTGAGCCGAGTTATGTAAGAGAAGTCTATTATCTTAATCATCAGTTTATATGTTTACCTATTCATACACATTTGTTGTGTCAGTGTCTAGTGATTGTGCCTTATGAATTAATTTGATCTATTCACGGGTTGGAGTTGTAATTATTGATAGCATTGCTTTCCACTTCTGTCAAGATTTTAGAACTCAGTTACTCGGTGGAATGGCCTTAAAGTTAATGAAACTTGCAAAAAGGTTTATAGTTTTATACTCATCTCATGTAATTTTTTTTACTTAAAACCAATGTGGCTTTGTAATTTGAATTAAACTCTTTTTATATTTTGTTAATTTAAATTAATTTTAATTTTATTAGATAAATTTGAGTTTTATAGAATTTATATCAATTAATAAATAAATATTGAAATACCAATTCCAAAAGATCAAAAAAGGTTAGCCAAAAGGCCGACTCAAAAAAATTTAATATTACACTTAATCTTAGCCAAAAGGCCGGTGTGATTATTATTTATTTAGCTTTATAGTTTTATAAGAGGGTTTCATATAATCCTTTTTATTTAAAACCAATGTGAGACTTTGTAATTTGAATTAAACTCTATTTGTATTTTGTTAATTTGAATTAATTTTAATTTTATTAGATAATTTTGAGTTTTATAGAATTTTGTTAATTTTAATTAATTTTAATTTTATTAGGTAATTTTGAGTTTTGTAGAATTTCTATCAATTAATAAATAAATAATGAAATAATGAAATATTTATTAGGTAATTTTGAGTTTTGTAGAATTTATATCAATTAATAAATAAATAATGAAATACTGAAATATTTATTAGGTAATTTTGAGTTTTTTTAGTATTTATATCAATTAATAAATAAATACTAAAACTCTTTGCACAAAGGCCGAGAAAGTAGTAGTACACTTGATCTTAGAAAGGTTAACCAAAAGGCCGACCCAAAAAAATTTAGTACTACACTTGATCTTAGCCAAAATGCCAAGAAGGTGTGATTATTATTTCTTTAGCTCTATAGTTTTATAAGAGGCTTTTACGTAATTTTTTTTTATTTAAAATCAATGTGGAACTTTGTAATTTGAATTAAACTCTTTTTATATTTTGTTAATTTGAAGTAATTTTAATTTTATTAGGTAATTTTGAATTTTATAGAATTTATATTAATTAATAAATAAATACTCAAATACTGAAACACTTTGCACATTTAATAATAGTATAAATATAGATATACATAGTTACTTTTATGATTTAGTCATCACAACTATTCCATCAACATTATGGAATTACGAATGGGAGTATTAGTCATTCAAAGAGTTTCTCCTTCATCAGATAAAGTTCAAAAGTCTCAAAATCCTTCACTTATTTTATTGTTTGATAAATCTACAACTTAATGAATATTTTAATTCAAAGAACAAAGAAAAATTACATTGACAACGCGTACTTACCTTAAAAAAAAAAAAAAAAAAACATCATTGACTATATGTATCCCAACTCGACATTATTCAAAAAGAATGAATATGAAGGAATGACTTTGATTTGCACAACCTCAAAATTCAAACCAATGAATTTGTTACATTGAGAAACCCTAACTTGAATTAAATCCGTTTATAACTTGGGGTGTGGCCATGAGGTGATCTAGCATTGCGAAGATGCTTCTCTTCAGAGAGTAATTTCGCAAACCTGTGAGACCAGAATTTTGTTAGAATTATTAAAATGAAAAATAAAGCAAACTATATAGTAAAATCAATAAGAATAAGATCATATATACCTTTTTAGAGCCTCTTCGTTAGTCTCTTGATCAGATGGCATAACAGTTGCAGTCTCCAAATTTACCCTTGAAACAGGTTTCTTAAGCAACCCTTCTCCAACCTTCACAAGATCTTCTAAATTAGTCTTGGTGGCTATATCGACTGAAGATACTATCCCGTTTAGTGAGTTATCCTGCAATTTGATTTGGTTCAATAGAGTTAAAAGAAGATACAATTTATAATTTTTTTTTTTCTTAAATTATTGCATGTAAGCACAGACACATACTTGAATACGAAGGTAATTCTTCTCCGAGTGCGAGGCTTGAAAAACCACAGAAAGATGGTAATCGACCACATCAGCACTTGCGTGGGTAAACACATCAACTAATGGGGTGGAACCACCACTGGTTAACCACCCCAATACACCCCATTTAGCTGCTACATCTGCATCATATTTTTCCTCAGCTTTTGGTGAGCCAGTTCCGAGGGAAATAACCAATAAACGACCATAGTCCATTTTCTTAATAGCGAGAAAGTCGGGATTTCCCCGCATGATCTGCTTTGTTACTTCACCAATTGCTATCAGAGTCTGAAACAATATTTGAAGTATAATAACTTTCAAGTTAAAAACAAACCAGAAAAGGCAAAATAAGAAAAATAAATAAATCAAGAGTATACAAGATTAAATTATAAATACCGGATTATTTGCAGCAACACCACCATCAATTAAGTTAAATTCTCTAACTCTTCCGTCGGCAGCTTTGGTTTCGAAGTAATGTACTGGAAGGTAAGTTGGCGCTGCTGAGGTTGCAATGCATATATCTGAGAGTGAGGCATCCAAGCTTGGTTTGTTTTGCACCTAATTAAACCATGAAAGAACAAAATTGGCGAACACTGCTATAGTGCTATGTGCTAACTCCAACCATTAAACGATGTAGTGGATGGAAATTATAAGTTGTAAAATACAAAAGGGTCTAACCTCGTAGGTGGAAAAGATGGTTGGCTCGAGTTTCTTGATGTCAAATGTCGGTATTGCAATATTAGTCAATGTCTGGTGTAGTTTTATGTTTCCTAATTTTTCCTTAACGATGTTGTGGAGGTACTTCCCATCATATTTTGGTCCCGACAGGGCTTTAATTATCTTTGCAACATGAGGGAATGAGGACCTGTTGTACAAAAAGTTGAACCATACTAGTTAACAACCATAAACAATATATCAGTCATAATTAGTTAGATAATTACCAGAGTTGAGGGAAGATTTTAGGGCAGCTTTCGAGGTAGAAGTCTTTGATATCCTTGGCTGCAAACAAGGGACGGTTATTTTCATTTGGTGCAGTAAGCATGGCAGTCACAAGCCCACCTGTAACGACCCACTCCACCACATGGTATGATATTATCCGCTTTGGGCCTGAGCCCGCACGATTTTGCTCTTGGGTTTCACTTCAAAAGGCTTCATACCAATTGGAGATGACACACTTACATATAAGCACTTCACCTTTCCTCTACCCAGGCGATGTGGGACTGTGCACCCGTAACTTACCAGTGTGGTAGCCTGACAGTGTCTTTCGCACTCGCCCATAGCACACCTGCCCACAAGGTCATCACAATCCACCCCCCCCTTGGAGGCCCGACGTCCCCGTCGGCACACTTCCGGCTGGGTCAGGCTCTGATACCATTTGTAACGACCCACTCCACCACATGGTATGATATTGTCCGCTTTGGGCCTGAGCCCGCACGGTTTTGCTCTTGGGCTTCACCCCAAAAGGCCTCATACCAATTGGAGGTGACACACTTACATATAAGAACTTCACCTTTCCTCTACTCAGGCGATGTGGGATTGTGCACCCGTAACTCGCCAGTGTGGTAGCCTGACAGTGTCTCTTGCACCCGCTCACGGCACACCCGCTCACAAGGAGAGACACTGTCAGGCTACCACACTGGCGAGCTACGGGTGCACAGTCCCACATCGCCTGGGTAGAGGAAAGGTGAAGTGCTTATATGTAAGTGTGTCACCTCCAATTGGTATGAGGCCTTTTGGGGTGAAGCCCAAGAGCAAAATCGTGCGGGCTCAGGCCCAAAGCGGACAATATCATACCATGTGGTGGAGTGGGTCGTTACAAATGGTATCAAATCCTAGGTTAAGAAATACCTAGCTAAGAGAAGTGATAGTAAGAATAGGAGCATATACTTTTACGAATTATTGCTCTCTTACTATGCTCCAGTTAAAGTATAAATTACATGTGAGACTTATCATTGACATTCTTTACTGAAAATAGGATGTCAGGAGCTGGAAGAGGCAGAAGACGACCTGCTAGAGGTAGAGGTCAGGGAGGTGCTGGTCGTGGTGGTGTTGACCATGACAATGTTCAGTTGGAGGATGCACCTCATGTGCCAAATCCTATGATTGGATTTATTAGAGATATCCGCAAATTGGGGGCTGTTGAATTTGCTAGAGCTACCGATCCACTTGATGCTGAGAAGTGGATTGAAGATATGGAAAAGTATTTTGAGATGATGGACTGCGCTGAGGTGCAGAAAAGGAAGATTGGTGCATTTCTTTTATCTGGTGAGGCGCGCCAGTGGTGGCAGTCAGAGACCAGGATGGTTGTGGACATTACAACTATAACCTGGGATGATTTTAAAACTCAGTTCAACGACAAATACTTTCCACAATTAGTGAAGGAGAAGAAGGCAACTGAGTTTATGCAGCTGGAACAGAATAATGATATGTCAGTCAGTGAGTACAAGAAGAAGTTTACAGAGCTATCCCGATTCGCTCCTCACATTGTTGCGAATGAGTTACACAAGGTCAGCAAGTTTGAGCAGGGGTTGATCTCTCATGTGAAGAAGTTTGTGGTCGGTCATCGTTTTGACACTTATGCCAAAATGGTGGAATGTGCCATGGCAGTAGAGGAGAACAATAACATTGCCTTTCAGAAACAGAAGGAGCGTAGGGCAGAGCAGAAAAGTAAGGGGGCTAACAGCTCTCAACAGAATCAGAGCAGCTCTCAACAAAATCAGAGGGGTCAACAGCAGCAGACTCAGAGAAACTGGCAGGGTCAGTCTTGGCAGAGAGGTAGACAAGATTGGCGAGCAGGGAAACGGCAGAGAGTTAGTGAAGGTGAGCAATCCACATCTTTAGTACCAGCCACACCTCACGATGCACAGCCATATCAGTTCAGCGGGCATTGCTACAATTGTCGTGAGCAACGACATTTGGCTCGTAATTGTCCTAAGCCTCAAAAGAATAATCAGCAGAAAGGTCAGGCACCACAGCAACAGGGAGGTGCAAGGGTTTATGCAGTTGTTCCAGATGGGAGACAGGATCGTGCACCACCAGCAGTGGAAGGTACACTTACTATTTATGGCAGTATAGCTAGAGTACTATTTGATTCAGGTTCTTCATATTCTTTTATTGCACTATCATTTGTGGATACACTGGGATTAGAACCTGGACATATAAGTAATGCCTTATCTATTACAACTCCACTCGGGAGCGCGACGACACTTGATAGAATATGTCGTGCTTGCCCTGTTACAATTGGGGAGTTGGAGTATCCTATTGATTTAATAGTACTACGTATAAGAGAATTTGATGCTATACTGGGTATGGATTGGTTGGCTAGATATCATGCTCAGTTGGACTGTCATGAGAAGATTATTGTATTCTCAGTTCCGGGACAGTTACCTTCTCAATATAAGTGTGGGGAGTTTGAGGGCACCATGACTATGGGATTTCTGGCCCACATCGAGGTGGTTGAGCAATGCGTGACTATAGAGCAGCTGCCTACAGTGTCAGAGTATGCAGATGTGTTTCGGGATATTCCGGGTTTGCCTCCTAGGAGGGCAGTTGATTTCAGCATCGACCTCACTCCTGGTATTTCACCTATCTCTAGGGCACCCTACAGAATGGTGCCAGTTGAATTGAGTGAGTTGAAGAAGCAGACTCAAGAGTTGCAAGATCAGGGGTTTATTCGACCTAGCACATCACCTTGGGGAGCACCTGTTTTATTTGTTAAGAAGAAAGATGGGTCACTCCGCTTATGTGTTGACTACCGTGCGCTGAATAAGGTCACTATTAAGAATAAGTACCCATTGCCACGTATTAATGATTTGTTTGATCAACTTAGAGGGGCGCAGTTGTTTTCTAAGATTGACTTGAGGACTGGATACCATCAACTGAGGATTAAGGAGGAGGATATTCCTAAGACTGCCTTTAGGACTCGTTATGGCCTCTATGAGTTTTTAGTCATGCCTTTTGGGTTGACTAACGCTCCGGCAGCTTTTATGGATTTGATGAACCGAGTGTTTTGACCATACTTGGATCAGTTTGTTGTAGTATTTGTTGATGACATCCTGATATATTCCAAGACTAAGGAGGAGCATGAGAGACACTTGAGCATTATACTTCAGACTTTGCGTGAGCATCAACTCTATGCTAAGTTTGAGAAGTGTGACTTTTGGCAGGAGCAGATTCAGTTTTTGGGGCATGTGATCTCTAAGGATGGAGTTTCAGTAGATTCTGCCAAGGTGGAAGCTGTGATGAGTTGGAAACGGCCTACTACTATCACTGAGATTCGTAGCTTCTTAGGACTGGCAGGATACTACAGGCGCTTTATTGTGGGTTTCTCCAAGATTGCTGCACCTTTGACCCGGTTGACCCGGAAGGATGTGAAGTTTGTTTGGGACCACCGCTGTGAGCAGGCGTTTGAGGAGCTGAAGACGAGATTGACATCAGCACCAGTTCTTACCATTTCTGCTAGTGGTGAGAGATTTGTGATCTACACAGATGCATCACATCAGGGTCTTGGCTGTGTATTGATGCAAGATGATAAGGTGGTAGCGTATGCCTCTAGGCAGCTTAAGCCACATGAGCAAAATTACCCTACACATGACCTGGAATTGGCAGCAGTGGTTCTTGCATTGAAGGTGTGGAGGCATTACTTGTATGGCGAGGAATTTGAGTTATTCTCTGATCACAAGAGCCTCAAATACCTCTACACTCAGAAGGAGTTGAATATGAGGCAACGGAGGTGGATGGAGAAGATGAAGGATTTTGATATGACTCTTCAGTATCATCCTGGAAAGGCGAATGTGGTAGCAGATGCCTTGAGTCGGAAACCGAGAGGATTAGTTGCCTTTATGATGATTTAGGAGTGGATGATGTTAGAGGCATTGGCAGAGTTTTCTATCATGCCGAGTTCTCAGAGTACAGGGGCTATTCTTTGTAGTTTGACTGTACAACCTACTTTGATCAGCCGGATCATTCATTTTCAGACTCAGGATGACAGGTTATAGACCAAAGCAGTTGAGTCTGTTAATGATGAAGGCAATGTTGACTGGGCGTATGGAGCTGATGGTGGTATGAGATTTCGAGGTAGGCTATGTGTTCCAGACTTAGTAGACCTCAAGAGAGAGATTTTAGAGGAGGCACATCACTCTAGGTACACAGTGCACCCAGGTGGCATTAAGATGTATCATGATCTTAAGAGGCAGTTCTGGTGGGAAGGCATGAAACGTGATATGGCAGAGTTTGTATCTAGATGTCTTACTTGTCAGCGAGTGAAAGCTGAGCACCAGAGACCAGCAGGACTATTACAGCTTTTGCCTATGCCTGAGTGGAAATGGGAACATGTGACGATGGATTTTGTTGTGGGGTTACCGAGGTCGATACATAACCATGATACAGTGTGGGTGATAGTGGACCGATTGACTAAATCAGCTCATTTTCTACCCATTCGAGCTATTGATACTGTAAAGGAATTGTGTAAGATCTATATTAGAGATATAGTTAAGCTTCATGGAGTGCCAGTGTCTATTGTCTCAGATCATGATCCTCGTTTTTCATCTCGATTTTGGAGTAGTTTCCAAGCAGCTTTTGGTACTCCTTTGAGTTTGAGTACTGCTTTTCATCCTCAGACCAATGGCCAGTCCGAGAGGGTCATTCAGGTGTTGGAGGATATGCTTCGTGCTTGTGTGCTAGATTTTCGGGGCAGTTGGGAGGATCACATTCCATTGGTTGAGTTCGCTTATAATAATAGCTATCAGGCTAGTATCGGCATGGCACTATATGAGGCACTTTATGGTAGACCTTGTCGTTCACCTGTATGTTGGGCTGAGGTTGGTGATGGTAGTTTTTTGGGGCCAGAGTTGGTGCAAGAGACTACGGAGAAGGTTGCCATCATTCGAGATCGACTTCGCACAGCTCAGAGTCGACAAAAGAGTTATGCAGACCGACGCAATCGTGCTTTGGAGTTTAGTATGGGTGACTTGGTGTTCTTGAAAGTATCACCAATGAAGGGGGTTACGAGATTTGGTAGGAAGAAAGGGAAGTTAGCTCCTCGATTCATTGGACCTTTTGAGATCACAGAGAGTATTGGGAAAGTGGCATATAGATTGGCCTTACCACCCAGACTATCTGCTGTTCATGATGTTTTCCATGTCTCTATGTTGAGGAGGTGCTTGAGGGATGAAACTCAGGCAGTTGACTGCACAGAGGTTCAGTTGCGTCCTAATGCAACCTATGTTGAGACTCCTGTTCGCATCGTTGACAGTATAGTGAAACAGTTGAGGCGGACAGAGATACCTCTAGTGAAGGTGCAGTGGAATCATCAGGACGAGAGAGAGGCTACTTGGGAGCTAGAGTCAGAAATGAAGGAAAAGTACCCACAACTCTTCGAATAAGGTATGCAAATTTCGAGGACGAAATTTCTTTTTAGGTGGGTAGAATGTAAAACCCTAAAATTTCATACATTATTTTTATTATTTAGTATTTAGTATTTTAATGTGATAGTAGAGATAATAGAGTTTTTCTTTTAAAATTTAAAACTTTAAATAAGAGTCCTAGGTTATCTCAAATGCAGTTATATTTATCCTTTATATTTTCACGTTGTATTAGTTCTACGAGGATTTATTTTAAAAAAATAATAATAATATTAGCGCGATACAGCATGATAGGACGGAGACCTAGAGAGAGTGATCTGACGTCGTGTCTTTCTGCAGTAGCCGAGGGAAGGAACGATAATCTGGAATTCGCGTAGGAAGGAAGAATTAATTATTATCCCAGGCAAGTTAATCTTGCATTGTAGTTCTATATATATTCGTAACTTCTTAAAAGATGTATATTTTAGCATATTTTAATATGTTGTTGCAAGTTACTGATTAAGAATACAATATATATTGGTTGCATGAGTAGTTGTATTTAATCAAGTAATCTTAAGAGTCTTTACATTTCTTACGAAAAATGTTTATTGGTTGAATATGAAATTTAGTTTATTCCATTGTTACAATTTATAGTAATAATAATGATTTATATATGAATATATCTATATTTACATGTTTGAGAATGACTGCATGTATGTAATTTGTAGAGTTACTTTGGTTATAATTAAAATGCGTGAACCTTTAAGTATATTTGTATTTGAGTATATAAAATTCCATATAATCTTAACTTTAAGTTCTGATTAATGACAAATCTGATCTAATGTAAATATATATATATAGATGTATGTGCGTGTGTTTATGTGTGGACTGTTTGAAGTAAAGTAGTCTTCATGTGGTAGATATATATTTATAGGAAGGAAATTCTTGTAGAGTTTCAGTCAAAGAGGGATTTATGTGGGTACGTTGGTATATGGCAGTGATGTAGTCATTAGTACTGGATCTTGGAGATCATTATTTTGGGATTAAAAAATTATGGTGTTTAAACTAGTTTCATAAACTAATTCTCATGTGTATGTTAATAAATTAAGCAATAAATAGTCCATGATTGTGGGATGACCTGTATTTAACAAAGTGGATTTGGACTTGGTTATGCATGGTTGGAAACACAACTTAGAAGTTGCTGGTTGAGCTCCTGGAAAGAATAATTTAAACTGGTGGAAGACTCATTTTGGGTGTTTTGATTTCACCCGCATTGGGCCATTGGATGGTGTATAGGGGCGTGTTTGGACTAGGGTGTGAGCAGTTGGCCAACGAGTTAGGCTGTGTGGTCCATTAGTCAAGATCTAAATGTTAGACCATTTCTTTGTCCATCAGAAATTATTTATTTATTTATTTTTATTTAATAATTTAAACTGATTTAGAATTAGAAATAAATTAGGGAAATATATTATTAATGTTCCAAAAATTATGATATTTTTCACAATATTATTTTTATCATATGTGAACTGTTTGAAAAAGTATTATTTTTTTCAATACAAAGACAGGGAGTACGGAAAAACTATTAAGCGATAGATTTTGAAATTTTGCAGGGTCATGTATCTAAGGATAGGCTATGTCTAAAAATTTTGTACTCCCACTAGTTGGGTCTTTAGGGTTCTGTTTTAAAGTAAAAGTGCGTTTGGTTGTATTACTTATTAATTTATATTATTAATTAATAATGTCTCTCATAATTCACCATAATTAATAATGATGAGTTTGGATTAGTCGGAGGGCATTCAGGGACTGACCCTATGATGACTCCTGGGTATGGTCAGGGACCTACCTATTTGGGAGTGCACTACCCTTTTGTTATGGCCATGGGTCTAATGAGCCCTTATTGTGTGGACGTGATCAGGGATCATCTGGGGAGTAGACGTACAATCCAGCCACACGTGTGTTTTTGGTAGTCAGGGACTATACGATTCACACCATTTTATTGGACGGGAGCCGGAGCTCATATGAGATATGCCGATTTATTAAAAATAAAAGATGGTTATTTATTAAGTTTATAATTAACTGGGTTACACACATTTGAATAATGAACTTATTTGAGTTGCTTATATATACAGGAATACAAGGTAAGGTTAATTTGCTGAACGATGATTGTGTTTAGCATTTATTGCTGAGCTTGTGAGTTCACCCCATTATCACATTTCAGGTACACGTTGAGTAGGAACGTGATGGGATTACATGATGGTGATGGATTTTGGCTTGTTTGTCGTATTCTTTGGTTTAGTTCAATTTTCGCATTGTAATAAGAATGACGATATTTTTTTGAGAGTTAGTTCATTTTGTCCAATTATCATGGATTATTTTTGACAAGGTTGTTTGATATTATGGTTGTATCGATTTAATAAATTAGAGGGTGGTTTACATCTACTTCTTTACTTAATTATTTTTATTGTAAGGTTGTGGTTGTGTAAAGAAAGTCATGCCAAATCTTAATACGAGACAAGAGTTCATGTATTTAGGATTTTGGGGCGTGACACCACCTGTGCTTGTCCCTGCAATCACGTCAAAGTAGTCTGTCATTCTTGCATCCTCTCCATCCATCTTCTGCAGCAAATGAAAAAAAATCATATATATAGACAATTTGAATAAACTAAGTCCGAAAGATTAATTAAAACTTCTATTGGCTTTGTATATTTATCGCAGGAATGCCGTGTTGCCATTTGAGTATAGAAGAAGTAAATTACCTGAAGCACAGACTCCAGAAAGCTGAGGATTGTTCTCGGGATAATCCCTCTTATTCTTCCTCCATCAATGCTGAGAACCGTGATTAGGTTTCCATAAGTTGGAGGCTGTACGATTGACTTTTGTCCTTCCATGTTACTAAAAGGGTGATAGCTGAAGAAATTTGAAGTTTCCGAAGTTTTGTGAGAATGAGAAGCACTCTTTTACGAGGATGGATATTTAAATTTGAGCTTTCGGACACCGAGAGCCTTGAAGTTGTTTTGATCTTGAGAAGCATGCACTCTTCGATATTTATTGACTCCTTATCCTTCTTATTCTTTAAGCTTCAACGATTTCATGAGCCATGCATCTGCTTTGAAATTCATGCAGCGGTTGTACTTTTTCGAAATTCATGCAGCTTTGTACTTCTTCGGATTAGATTTGACTGAGTCTATAATATTCAAAGCATGAACGTACCAATAGAAAATTCCACATTGGAACTGTAGTCATCTTGGTAGTCTCTTGCTTTTGCAGCAAAAACATTGTCCCCTGGGCACTATATGTAACGACTCAAAACTAATACTTTTTAAACAAAAAAAATTCGGCATGACCTCCCCTAAAAATAGGCCTATCACAACCTGTTTAATTGCATTTTTAACCTGTCATGGCTTAAATTCCGAATTCACGGCAACAAAAGATAATGATACAACCAACTAATCTAGACAATGCTTCAAACTAGGATTATCCATCCATTCATCAACAAGTTGCATACTATCAAATCCCCATCCAAAACATCATCAATACTTTAGTTATATTACAAGACAAAGTTCTACAAAATAATTATATATCTTTGCACTTCTAGTGTTTTACAAAATAATGGGGAATATACAAAGATACAAAAGTGGACTTCTAACGCCGTTCAAGCTTGAGGTGGGTTGTCATCCGCCAGTTCCTTTCCAAGACCTGAAAAAAAATATATATAGATATAGGGGTGAGCATATAGCTCAGCAGGTGACACTTAAGACACAATTCTTGTGTCCTAGTGAATCCAAATAAAGCATAGGCCAATGGGAGATTGGGGACATGCATTGAAGGGGAAAAACAATTACAAGTACAAGTCAAATTCAATCATACACAAATGCAAATGGAGTGAGATGCAATGTATGCTAATGTCACTCCCCGTTTTCATTCTCAAAACCATCACGTTCAAAGTTAATGTAACCCCCTTTGGTAACCCCGCCGTGACGAGAGGAGGATTGGCTACCGTCCCTAGGCCCTTGGTGACCCCGTGGCGCCGTTGAGGGGCCCGAATAGCTCAACCACGCTAGGGTACTCTCCCTAGTCCTCCCTAGGCTACATTAACCTCTGGCCCGTTGGTAACCCCGCAGCGACCGGGTTTGTCAAAACCAATTTTTTTCCAAAACATTCATTCCCAAATCCCCATTTTCATTTCAAGACAACCACTTCCCTTTTTCATGCAACCCAATGAGATGTAGGCTCATGTCATGATCTCAATATAATGACAAATGAGAACTTAGCACAATAATAAATAAGCATATTCTCATGGCATCATTATAGCATGTTAGTAACCTCAAAAAAAATGTAAACAACTATCACATAGACATACTTTTCATTCAACCATGTTATACACATTTACATAACTAGCATGTTGTCAATTAAATCATTTTAATCAAAATCAACAACAATTAAACATGCTATAACACACATAGAGGAGCATGATTCATTATAGAGCAAGATTCCATGGCTTAAGATGTCCCTACCTCACAATCCAAGCAGAAATCCCTAGAATAGGTCCTCCAAATTCGAGCTCCAAGGAAGACTCAAATCTAGAAATTGATAGTATGGATGCGTAGAGCTCGCTACAAGCTTCGTTTTGCCTCAAACGGCACCTCAATCCGACAAAAGATGAAGGAGCAATCAACAATGGAAGTTGAAGTGAAAAGAAAAGAAAAAAGAAAAAAGGAGAAGCCGAGAGCAGTCGGGAGAGAGAGAGAGCAGCAGAGACCAATTTTGGTCTCACAAATCACTTAAAAAGTGATGTGGGTCCCACTTTATTTTATATTTCTTTTCTCTTTTTCTTTTTCATTTAAATCACACACCACACACACACAATTATGTACACAGACTTCACACTATATGTTAGAATTTTAGGTGAGACTCAGAATTGTAGGTAAGACTAGCTAATTTGGCAATAATGGTCCAAATGGAATATATTATCTTTCTCTTTTTTAGATAATCCAATGGAGTTCTATAAACCTTATCCAATGGAAAATAAATTAGTTGTGTAATTGTCTGGTGCAGAACTTTTTAAAATTTTTTTTCGAAAACTTGTCTGGTGCAAAAGTTGAGGTTGCTTGTATTGCCTACTCAATGAATTCAAAAACCTGCAGAAGTTGTAATTGCTAACGCGTCATTTGCATTCGAAAGAGGCGGCGTAGTGTCAAATGAAAACACTGGTAAGCCATTCAAAATGCTACATTGAGGAAGTGTGCCTAAAATAACTTAAATAATGCCTTATAAGACTTTCTTTTGCTATCATTCACTTATGTTTTTGCTGTGCCATTGCATAGTTTATGGACTTGACTCTAATATAAACTTGATATTCTGGATTAGTCAATGAACTTCGGGTTTTAAAAGACCACAAGTTATTAGACAGGCTTTATATATCCTTCATAAAATTTATGAATTCTTAGTTTGCAGGATATCTCTCTATGTAATGCAGTTGAACATCTTATCAAAGTTTCATGAATGACAAATTTGATTTTTGTGACCTCGATCCGACAAGGAACAATATCGTCAACGAACAAAATAATGGACATAATCTTAAAGAAAATGAAAGTTGCATGCATTAGCAGGAAACAATGGTAAAATCAGAATGATATAATGTGTCCATCTGAGCTCTCAACGCGTATCAGTTGTAACAATCAGTGACTAATGATATGTAATATTGACAGTGAAGAATCTGTTCTAACTTGCAATGCATATATCTGAGAGTGAGGCATCCAAGCTTGGGTTGTTGTTTACCTCATAGGTGGAAAAGATTGTTGGCTGGAGTATCTTGATGTCGAATGTTGGTATTGGCACATTAGTCAATGTCTGGTGTAGTTTTGTGTTTCCTAGTTTTTCCTTAACGATATTGTGGAGGTATTTCCCATCGTATTTTGGTCCTGATAGGGCTTTAATTATCTTTGTTGTATGAGGAAATGGAGACCTGTCATTCAAAAAAGTTCAAAACCCATAGTAATTAACAACCATAAAGAATATATTGCATTGTTATAACTAGTTAACTAGCATATACTTCGTTATAAATAATTACCATGGTTGAGGAAAGATTTTAGGGCAGCTTTCGAGGTAGAAGTCTTTGATATCCTTGGCTGCAAAAAAAAAAAGGACGGTTCTTTTCATTCGGTGCAGTAAGCATGGCAGTCACAAGTCCACCTGTGCTCGTCCCTGCAATCACGTCAAAGTAGTCTGCAATTCTTGCATCCTCACCATCTAGCTTCTGCACCATATGACAAAAGCATATAGAGTTAGCACTTAAGAAGATTATTCATATTGGCAATACAATAAGGTCGCGGAGCAGCATTTTAATTGCAAGTTACTTTGCATAAGCAAAGTTGCAAGATGAAAACTTCATTTGACTCTATATATGTGTAACGACCCTAAACTGATACCCTTTTTTAAAAAAACAATTGGCACGACCTCCCCTAAAAAGGGACTACAACCATCTGCTCAAAAACAAAAAACGCAATGGCCCTTCTTGGCCTTTCAAAACACCTCCTACTTGTCCCAACACATAATACAATTAATATACTCCAACATCCCATCCATCCGTTCATTATACCTCAACATGGCTCATCTCATGGTGGAACATCTATGTACCGTTTAATCCAAATTATCATAATTACAGTCCTAAAATATAGTTACAATAACTAGGTTCACAAATCTCTATACCAAATATAACAAACTAAGATTTTACAAAAATATGGGACTTAATACAAAAATAGCAAAAGAAGTCCTCTAATCCAAATTAGGTCTGTGGTGGGAAGTCATCCCCCACTTCTTTCCCGTTTCCTAAAAAAAAATTTATTAAATAATAGGGTGAGTATAAAGCTCAGTAGGTAGCACTTAAGATACGCTTTTTGTGTCCCCGTAAATCCAAACATAGAATAGAGCAATGAGAATGGGGATCAGACCATGTAGGGAAACCACAATATAATAATCAATTTCCACATAAGTAACATAATGCAATGGGAATGCAATGCATGCCGATGTCGCTCCCCGTTTTCAAAATCAAAACCATCACTTGTAAACTGTTAATATAACCCGCCCTTTGGTAACCCCGCAGCGACATGAGAGAAGGATTGGCTAGTATTCCTGACCCATGGTACCCCCGCGGCGTCATTATGGGGCCAGCTAGCTCAACCACGCTAGAGCAATCTCCCTAATTCCCTCTAGGCTATATTAACCTTCCGACCCTTTGGTACCTCCACGGCGATCGGGTTTTCACAAAACCGATTCATTAAAATACTTTCCCAAAATTCTCTTTTTCTTTTCAAAATGATTTCTTCCCTTTTATGCCCAATGCCAGTGCTTAAATGCATCAATGCTATGTCCATGCTCATAATCCCACGACTAGTTCAAATTTAACTAACAAGGCATGGTTCACAAAAATTCCCAAAGGAGTTACCACATAACGGCATATAACAAGATTCTAGCATTTTTGGCATATGAAAATCAACACATAAACATGCTCTTTACATAAAGCATTTAATCCACATAGTTCCATGGTTATCATATAAGCAAGCTTTTCATACAACATATTTAACACACATTCTCATGTTCATATATCTCAATCAAGTAAATTTAAACTATAATTAACATAATTAAGCATTCTAAGACACAAATCAAGTAGATCAACTCACTAAAGCACAAGATTTCATGGATTGAGGGCCCCTACCTCAAGATTGGACAAAACCTTTGAAATGGGTTCTAAATTTTGAAATCCAAGGAGGGCACCAAAGCTGAAATTTCTGGTACTAGTGCGCAGAGCTCATCGTGCTCTTCGTTTTGCCTCAAACGGCACTTAAATTCGGCAAGAATTAAGAGAGAAATCTTGTCTCAAAGATTGAAACTCAAAAGAAAGAAAAAAGAAAACTCTAGAAGGGGAGAGAGAGGTTCTAGCGGGAGTGAAGAGAGAAGGAAGAAAATGAGGCTTAAAACATGCATGTGGGTCTCATCAATTTTGAATTTCTTTTCCCTTTTTCTTTTACTCCAATTTCTACACCACACATATATAATGCAATACATAAAATACCATTTAATCCACATAAATTAAAATGCACAATGTGTAATGGACCCAACTAAAAACCCATACACAAAACGTGAAAAGACCGAAATACCCTTGCATCAACGAATTACTGAAAATATGAAAAATGTAGAAAATTTGAAACGTCACAATCCACCCTCTTTAAAGAGATTTCGTCCTCGAAATCTATCCTCCTTAAGAAGGTGGTCCACAGTTACAAACTCTCTAAGAATACCTTTCAAAACCCCAAGATAATGAACCCACCGACATTACTGCCTTGAACTTTGGATGTCACCAATACCACCACAGAAACTAATGCGGTTACCCAACTCTTACCACGTCACAACACAAGACCGACCAGACCATACGCCTGACTCATAATGGACATCGGTCCACTCAACACTACCACGAAAGTCTCTTAGCCCAAAAGATAAACGGTCACCAAATTACCAATTAAGACGACATCCAACCACAACTCATCCTCTAAAGAACACACACCAAACCACAAACAAGGAATCCCGTTCATCTCTCAATCCATTTCAACTTTAGTCCATACGTCTTTGATAGACCAAACACTTGCTATCCAAGAAGTAGCTACACCACCACATAACTGTACCAACAAATACTAATCACACTTATACAATAATCATTACACTTAACAACTTCAACATGATCAAATAATGAGTCCTCCAATAACCATATATACATTTATCACCAAATTAATAAGCATACTATCCTGCACCCAAGGCACAATTTCTTGAAACAAGATCTTTAATAATCAATGATTGTACCACTAACCCGTTATCAAACGCCCAATACCACCTAACACCTTTCGTCACCCAAGATAAATCATGTAAGTCCACATTGTCACACCCATACAACGTACAGTACCATACTCTCACAATCATTAACAAGTCGGAGCGATCATTGACCTTTGACCCGACATCGTGCCAAAGAAGGATTGATTCAGGAGAAATGGTTGGCCAAGCCATTCTCATCCTCAATCCAATCTCGACACAGACATTGTCCCTGTCCTCAAGTCTAAACCTCAAACACAGTCTCACACAGTCCACAAAACAACCATAAGATCTACTTTCTAATCAATCCATCGTTCTACATTACCTTAACAATTATACAGTTATACACCTACTCTCATAATTCCAATCATAACACAGTCACATAACCATAATAAACACGACAATGCGGCACCAATGTCCCAATCACCAACCAACATCAACGTTCTCTAATTTTCTCATAATACCTATACCAGGTAAACAACTCCATAACATCATCCAATCCAATTCTGACCTCGTCAAAATATACAATGCAGCTATCTCATACCTAAGGTCTAAAACCCAAGATCAATCATTCCTATTATCCCCAATGGAATTCCATAATCATTCTCTAACTACATAACATTCAACAATTCCAACACCTATCCTCAAGACACTACTAGAATCAATCACTTCTAAAAACATCCAAATACATGAGTCACATCACATCACCCAATTATCCTCAAACTGCGATTCACGACACATTTCCTAGCCATCACCGCTAATACCAATAACGGAAACACAATCCCTAATCGGTAACCTGTGCCTCATATCCTACCAGTCAAAACCATTCTCAAAACAAACACTACAAAGCTAAAGGCTATAACTCCCTTCGTGGAAGTAAGTCGACCTCCTTCAATCAGAACCTCAATCGTCAAATTCTAACAGCGCAACACCTACTCACAAATCCGTCCATCCATGGACGTGCACAACTTCTAAGCATAGACAAGACCCACAACAACGATGTCCTTGCCAAGACTAGAACAAACGGAAGGGTAATAAACCCCGCTCTTACAAGAGACCAACAACTTGTACCTTAATGAATCGGACATCCTATCACACACTACTCACCAGTCGTCCAACCATGAACACCTAATCTCACCTGAGATGAACTGAACTCCTTATACCCAAGGAGAAGGATCAACTTGGAACTCATACGGAACCACGAGCACTAATCTAAGCGACCTCGCCCATTACCGGACCGTCCTACATAATTAACAAAAAACCTCGTACACACTTCTCTGCAACATTATGCTAACCAAAACTAGTTAGATAAAAGCACCAATGCCCTTAACATACTAACACTAGGAACCATCACTGTACATTGGACACCGCGTTCGCTCCCATCGGAAAACTGTTACTCCAAATGACAACCTTTAAGTCGAAAAAAAAAAAAAAAAAAAAAAAAAAAAAACACTTTACCACCCATTCCACCTTCGTTCTCCTAGACGTCACTACCTCGAATACCATACACTCAAGACTCGTAACCTCAATCACGACTGTCCACTGACTCCTCAAAAGAAAAAGATGCCTATCCGGCAACACCACTCTCATTGGCTCTAAGGACTAAGCCGTCCACAATCGCTTCAACTGGCACACACTTCCCATCACTTACCTAACAACATACAACAACACTCACGATCTCTAATCCATCTTCGGATCATACTAGAAACCATCATTCTCATCAGCACTAAACATCATACCATGACATCATAACACTTCCATTGTCACTCATTCCAACAACTGTTCAAACCTATTATCCCATCAGACCATCAAGTCACTTCTAAATGATCTTTCCTCGAACATCCTTAAGATAATATCATCGTAAACAAAGAACAAGCATAGCTCTCATTGCTCCCCATAACAACCACTATTTACCACTAGAAAAGAACATTCACACGGCAATGCCTTGCCAACAAATCCTCAAACAAAAACGAACATAAGAATCCAAAATGCTCAACACCCAACTGTCTCCTCAAAACTATCAATAATGCGATCAATCAGTGCTGTCTTCCTGAATACTGGGATCACCCCTAAACTGACTTATTCTCCAATACAGGAGCCTCAAATACTAACACCCCCACGATCATCCTTCCCAAAACAACTACACCACTCTAATCCCTTGGCATTAACAAGCCTCTACTAACCAACCGCTCATTCAAGAGTGATACCAACCCAACATGAAACACACACTACTCGTGATACCCAACACTATAGGCAACAACCCGTCACAAGAAAAGAATCATACATGGCACACTACAGAAACAGTCCCTAAGAGGAAAATAAACACTACACTATATGGTCAATCACATAAACTGTAGCAGACGACGACTACAAAATAATGGTCTCTCATTAGTATCTAATTGGACCTTCAAGTCACGCATACAACTAACCTATCCCACCAAACAAAAGGGTATACTACTCTTATGCCCCCAACACTATCATTACCCAGCCAATCGGTACAATTACTATCCAACACAATGGAATGTCCACATCGATTTCATCTGAGTTGTGTGTTCGTAGCTCGCTCAGTGTGGTAGCCCTCTGGTGCCACCTGCACACGCTCACACACACCCGCCCACAAGGCCACAAAACAAATAAATCAAATAGAACAGGCCACCAAGCCCAAGAGGTCACTCCTTATCCTGGCTCAACACAATCTGTGACCAATACTCTATGATCACCAAACAACATCACACTTAGTTTCTGCCTTTGTCACTGGAAATCATAACAAAAGGTGCAACCTACTCATCCCGTCGCCAACTTAAGATCAACCTCAACTTTTATTCCCAACAGTAATCTAAGGGACAACTCTCAACCTTAACATCAGTGAACTTCTAAATAAAAATCCAAATACAAACCTTACTCAACCCATACAGCACTAGAACCTCACAAGTCATACACTACATGCCACCTCACGTCTATTGACATCTAATCAACTTTAATTACACGAAATGATTTCATGACTCACACACCATACCCTACTAATCCATCACCCCAAAAGTCCACTCACCACACCGAGGAAACACAACATAAATTCTCGCCCATGCAAGAAAATAAGGACTTCTATCCCGGATAACACCTAAGATCAAACCTCTTCACCATTGCCAGTCTTTAAAAAAAAAAAAAAAAAAAAAAAAAAAAAAAAAAAAAAAAAAAAAAAAAAGACTCCTAGTGGAACAACGCATTCAGATCAAACCAGACCCAGAAGATTGTGCTATTCACATCACCCTTGCTCACAATACTGATACCTACCCCAGTCATAGGTGATAACTCATAGAATTAATACAACACAGAAGTGCGCATGCTTAACGATTACATGTTGAACCCATAACACTTACTCATCGATCATTTAAGTCAATACTACACACATATAATATACAAACATGTAATCATGTAAGCAAATAAGCAAGTACGCAGGTAAGCAAGCTTTTCAAAATCGTATACACGTAAGCAACTAATCAAGTAAGTGTACTTCTCAAAACAATAAACACTTTAACATGCAACAAATCCAAATCAACTCAAGTCCTACTTAGGTCAACCCTACCCGTCGTCCTTAGGTTTTCGAACCATTGCTCTGATACCATTCTGTAACGACTCTAAACTGATACCCTTTTTTAAAAAAACAATTGGCATGACCTCCCCTAAAAAGGGACTACAACCACCTGCCCAAAAAAAAACAAAGGTAATGGCCTTTCCTGGCCTTTCAAAACACCTCCTACCTGTCCCAACACATAATACAATTAATATACTCCAACATCCCATCCATCCGTTAATTATACCTCAACATGGCCCATCTCATGGTGGAACATCTACATACCGTTTAATCCAAATTATCATAAATACAGTCCCAAAATATAGTTACAATAACAAGAGTTCACAAATCTCTATACCAAATATAACAAACTAAGATTTTACAAAAATATAGGACTTAATACAAAAATAGCAAAAGAAGTCCTCTAATCCAAATTAGGTCTGTGGTGGGAAGTCATCCGCCACTTCTTTCCCGTTTCCTAAAAAAAAAATTATTA